TTTTTTTTTTGTAATATCACTAAATGCCATGTAGCTTTGAAAATGATAAAAAATAACCACTCTCCTTTAAATATGAAATAATGATCATTTTGCTATGTGAAATGACATAGGGTATTGCCAAAATCAAATTTTTGTGAAATGACACAATTACCCTTACTGTCAAAATCAGATTTTAACTAAGGGACTATATATGTTTCACATATATAGTCGTTTTGGCAATATAAAATATATAGCCACTGTTGTGGAAATATAAAATAATAGTCGTTTTGCTATGTGAAATGACACAGGGTACTTGTGTCATATTTGCATTTACTACTTTGCTATAAAACTAAGGGACTAATTTTTTTTTATGATTATTATTATTAATTTAATTAAATTTGCAAGGTTATGTCCCTAAGGGCAATACTCAAAGACCAAGTACTGGCGAAGAAACAAGTTTCGACCAACTACACGGAGGTTTCCGAGACAGCCGAGAGCACATCAATCCCGAGCTCCGTGAAGCTGTGTGGGCACCACAAAGTCAACGAGGTCGGAGAATGTAGCTATGTTCTTAACATCGACGACTACAATCCGGCCATGATGGCTCCATACAATTGGGCTGCCCTACCTTAAAAAACCTAATTAGTTGTCCTTGATCTAGTTGAGCTTTTAATTAGGTAATTAATTAGTTAATTAATGGCTTTTTAATTTGTTGTGTTCATATGTGTGATCATCAGTACTTTTTGAAAGACTAATTAATTAGCTAGCTAAAAATTAATTTCGACTAAATTATCCTCTAATTATTTAATTTCTAAACTACTAATTAATTAATGTTTTAAGCACACGATAAAAGAATATGGGAGCCTGCTTCTAGTAGGTTTGGACACCCAACTCCGTATATGGGCTTGGTCTTTTCTTATTAAGGACACACAAGTGAGATGGCGTGTTAAAATATCATTTGTGAGTTATCCCACATCGTTCATACATGGAAAATAGACCACCTTATAAGTCTAATGGGCGACTCATCTTTTCACCAATTGTTTTAGGATGAAATCTCACTTGGGCTTCATTTGGGCTAACTCTCTTATAGTGCGTTTAACATATGTGGGACCACACTCATTTTCTCTTTTGCAATTCCAACATACTATTTCATTTCAATTGCATTGATGCTGTAACTGAAAACTAACGGGCAAAGGTTAAAAGCGAATACATTGTATAAGTCCACAGTTATTTGATTATTATTAAGTGTGAAATTTCTGGTGGTGTGATTTTATTAGGGCTGCAAACGAGCCGAGCCGAGCCGAGTCGAGCATTGACCTTATCGAGCGGATTGAATTTTTTTTTGAGGTGCTCGAGCTCGACTCGATCAAAACATACAAGAGCTCGAGCTCGACTCGAGCTCGACTCGAATTCATAATGCTCGAGCTCGGCTCGAATTTTTTCAAGAAATTTTGGAAAATAACTATTAATTACATATATATACAAGGGTATTTTAGTAATTTCACATATCTCGATCCGCTCGCGAGCCGCTCGACAATGTAATATATGGGCTCGAGCTCGACTCGAGTTCGTGCTCGAGCCGCTCGAGCTCGACTCGAGATCGGTCAAACTCGAGCTCGAGTCGAGCTTTGACTCGAGCGCTCGCGAGCGGCTCGCGAGCTGCTCGACTCGTTTGCAGCCCTAGATTTTATATATCGATTTATGTTAATTTATAACATGTCAAATTCAGACGCTATAATAAACCAACTGAATTTTCATTTACTAAAATTGAATCAACTGAACTTTTATCTGAATTTGAACATAGAACTGAATCTAATCGGAATAAACATTTTATTCGATTGATTAACCGAACTGTTGAATATGTTAGAGCATCTCCAATGGCTCAATGTCTATTTTAAAATGTATGGTGTGGAGAAAAGAAATAAAATTATTTTGTCTCAAATGGTTAATCTCAATTGTGGGATAAATTGACACTTGTAATATAATAATTGGTTGGTAGAAATATAAATATAAAATAAATAATATAATATAAAATGAAAGATGTCTAGAAGTCTTTCTACATCTAGAAAGAAAGTATATGATTGATATTCTTCAAGATACACTAGCCTTATGAAGTGTAAACCAACATCTACTCATTTGCCTTGGTTTTAAACTTTCAACTGCAGTTGGTAGTTTTCTCTTGAAGAACCTGATCAATATAGGCGACTTGTGGGAAGACTCGTATATCTTAACATGACCAAACTTGACCTAACTTATGTTGTTCGACAGTTGAGTCAATTTATTAATTATCTTCACACTTGTCATTGGGACGCAACTCTACATGTTGTAAGATATTTGAAAGGCTCACCATCTACATGGGCGAGTATGGTATATTGCTAATATGGTTTTGTCCAACAAAAAAACAAACAAAACAAACAAACAACAAAGCCTTTTAGTCCCAAACAAGTTGGGGTAGGCTACAGATGAAACCCAAATAGAAAAAGTGGAAAAAAAAAAAGATTGGAGCAAAAGAGAAAGGAGCAAAAGTCACGGTTCCGGCACGTTGATCGCTAGTCTCCAAGCGCTCCTATCCACCGCTAAATCCTTGGAGATATTCCAATCTTTAAGGTCACTCTGAACCGACTCTTCCCAAGTGAGTTTAGGCCGACCTCTACCTCTCTTAACAACATCGACCCGCTGTAGAACTCCCCTGCGCACCGGTGCATCAGGAGGCCTCCGTTGGACATGTCCGAACCACCTCAGCCGATGTTGAACCAATTTCTCCTCAATTGGGGCCACCCCGACCCTATCACGAATATCCTCATTTCGGATTCTATCTCTTCTTGTGTGCCCGCAAAACCAACGCATCCGCATCTCTGCTACACTTAGTTGTTGGACATGTTGCCTTTTTGTAGGCCAACATTCAGCACCGTATAGCATCGCCGGGCGAATCGCCGTCCTATAGAATTTACCTTTGACATTGAATTGTGGGTACAACATGTAATGCTAGATTAAGTTCATACCTCTCATAATGTGGGTACAACATGTAATGCCTACATTGTATCAATTAATGTTCTCTTCCATCCTCACTTTCTCCAATCACACATGGGAATTGTGAAACCCATCACGTTTTGTTGTTATTCATTTCACAATCAACCGTGTCCTAATCACTTTTCAACCTTTTCCCATAAATATTCCATATCTGATACTTAAAAAATAAAAGTAAGAAAAAAAAAAAAAAAACTCCAGTTGGCACCTCCACATGTCCTCATGCCACGCCTCCACGTCAGTAAAGTCAACTAAGAAAGTGATGGAGACGAGTTCGGTCCGGATTCGAGGACGAATTCTTCTCAACCAGGGGAGGATGATGGAGACGAGCTCACGTTGGAGTTTCTGGACAAATATGATCGTCTCTGCATTTGATTTGATTATTATTTGCTTTCCTATTTATTTATTCACTTTCTACATCAGAAAGCCATCTCAAGAATCACTTTAATCGAAGTAAAAAAAAATAACTAAAAAACAAATTCACTCATGTAAGAATTTCTTAAGCCCTTGTTCTAATATCAGTCACTTCAAACAGAGAGAAGAGAAGAAAAACAGAGCGAAAATTGAAGATGGCCGAATGTTGTTCATCATCATCGTCATCGTCGTCGTCGTCTTCTTTGAAGCTCGTGTACTTTGTCGTGGTCCCATTGATTCTTTTGTCTGGGCTTGTAATTGCTATGAACCAGAAGATTAATGGCGGTGGCCGCAGCTATGAAATTCCATGGCCGTCTTTCATGTCGCCCGCCGGAGCTTCAATGCAAACTTACGATCATTTTCCGGTGAGACCATCTTTTTTCAAGAAACTGTTTTCAAAGCTGTTTACAACTGGAGTTGCATTGTCTTTGTGAAATTTTGTTATGTTTGCTCAAAAAGGTCATGGTGAATGAAGAGAACGACACACAACCCGCAAAATCTCCCGAAAAAGCTACTGATTTCGATGGCTTGGAGATGGCCGAGGCTAGCCTAGCTCGAGCCCGAGCCGCCATACATGAAGCTCAACACAACAATGAAACATCCTTCGACCCGGATTATGTCCCGGAAGGTCCATTTTACCGTAATCCAATCTCATTTCACAAGTAATGTTTTGTTAATTTTCTTTGCTTTTTATAGAATTTGTGGAGAAAAAAAAAACAAAAACTTTTTGAACTAGCTAGTTATGTTTCATTTAGGAGCTATTTGGAGATGGAGAAAAATTTTAGGATTTACGTGTATGAAGACGGTGATCCACCGTTATTCCACTATAGCAAGAGTCTCGGGATTCTTGGGATTGAGGGGATTCTCATACATCAAATTGAGATCAGCAAGTTTCGAACAAGAGATCCTGAAAAAGCGCACGTTTACTTTATTCCGTTGAGCGTGCAGTCTATCGCCACGTACGCGTACGTGATCCATAACCGAGCTTGGAGTCCATTGCAAGACATAGCCAGAGATTATGTGAGGCTGATTTCGTCTAAGTACCCTTATTGGAATCGAACACTCGGGCACGACCATTTCATACTCGGTTGCCATGATTGGGTAAGACTTTTTCTGTTTTCCTTACCTTTTTCTTCTTACAGTCAAGTAACTAGTACAAAGATGAAATATAACTGCTTTTTGTGGAAGTATGAATAATAGTCATTTTGCCATACAATTACTCTTACTATCAGAAACTCTTCATGGATCCCACTATCCCAGAATTGTTTTCTATACTCTCTGAAAACAATTTCTGTGATCCCAAATTGGGCAAGACTTTTCCGGTTTTCTTTACCTTTTTCGTTTCTTTTCTTCTTGATAATTTGTGTTATGTTATGAAACAGAGTTATATTGTGTGTTTTTTTTTTCATAGACTCCGACAGTTTCCCACGGCGTTCCGCACCTTTTCAAGAACTCGATAAGGGTCCTATGCAACGCCAACACTTCTGAAGGGTTCAAACCCTCGACCGACGTGTCTTTGCCAGAGATATACCTTCCGGACGGCAAAATGGACGGCTTGATCGGCGGGCCACCTCCAACCGAACGCACGATTCTCGTCTTCTACGCAGGAGGCATACACGGCTATATAAGGCAAGTTTTGATGGAGCAATGGGAAAACAAAGACCCAGACGTGAAAGTCCACGAGTACCTCCCAAAAGGCACGTCGTATTACGGAATGTTCCGGAAGAGCAAATACTGCATTTGCCCTAGCGGTTGGGAAGTGGCGAGCCCGCGAATGGTCGAGGCGCTTTACATGGGGTGCGTGCCGGTTTTGCTCAAGGCCCATTACGCGAAGCCGTTCGATGATGTGTTGGATTGGAGCAAGTTCTCGGTCGATGTTGGTGTGGAGGAAATTCCCGATTTGAAGAAGATTTTGACGGGTATAACAAACGGGAGGTACTTGGAGATGCAAGAGATGGGGATTAAGGTGAGGAGACATTTCGAGGTTAATTTCCCTCCGAAAAGGTACGATGTTTTCCACATGGTGATGCATTCCTTGTGGCTCAGGAGAATCAACGTTCAACTTCACGATACACGTGAGAACTGATCGATCGATCGATAATCGTTGGTTAAATATCGATCGATTGAGAGTAAAAATGCTCGTTTACGAATTCGATTTTTAACGCGTTTGTTTGGAGTTGTGTTGTTTTTATTAGGCTTAGAACTTAAAATAGTTTGCGTCTTTACCGTGTACTGTAACATGCTAGGAAAATGTACAATAAAATGAGTTACCATTTACCAAGCATTTGATCAATTTTTTTTCTGCTTGTGCCTAAGTTTTAATTAAATTTCAAGGCCTAAAATGGGAAAAGTTGGAGACACATCATGCATTCAGTGTTCTTTGTTATCAAAGTTATGGTTATCAGCTTAAATGGTACTCTCTAGCTGTTAGCTAACTTTGCTATCTCTGGCCAATCACATTTCATTTGGCTTTTCAACATTTTTCCTCTTTTTTTTTTTTTTT